CCTTAGCAAAGCGCATCCCAGGCTGCATAGCCGCACTACCCTACCCAACCATACCACACATAAACATGACACTACCCCCGGGGTTTACACAGACGAGCCGGCGAAGCAAGAAGAGCGCCAGAAGAAAGGGCCCTAGCCGGCGGGGCCCAGCCAGGACAAAAGGAGGTCCCACAAAGCGCCTACACCGGCCGCATTTGCGGTCGGGGTAGACGACGGATGGGGCCCACCTACGAAGGCTGTCCAGGCCTACACGAGATGAGGCAGGATAAAGAGGGATAATCCCCCTCGATCCCAAATCATTGAGGCCAATTTCTAGCCATAGAATAATGGCGCGGTCTTCTGACGCCTCCTGAAAATTTCTTGAATTCCTCTGGAGTCAAATCAGAAAATTTGTTGATGCCCTGTTTGTAAGTCACCTCCCCAGCGTCATATTTTTTGTTGTGTTCTTCGATCTTCTTCACATTCTCTTGGAAAATTGCAAATCTCTTGGCCTCTTCTTCGGCTTCATAAGATTTTCCATGCTCCGTCTAAAATTTAAAAATTACAGTAATCACTGAATATAACTTATTTAATAATAACCGTACCTTGAAACTGGTCCATTTTTCTTCCAATGTTAGTTGAGCCATGGTAATAACGAGCAAACTGAAAAGGAATGCAGCTTTTAAAAGCATATTTGTTGAAAATTTTTATTTGTATAAAAATTTTGTAACAATACAAATATTGTCGAGTGCGAAGCAAACACTCAACAAAGATTAACTGGAACTGGCTGATATGCTTGTATCTTCACCTTGATCAGTAAGCACAAGTGAAAGTTAAACAAATTCTAAATAATTACGTAAATCTGTAGAAAAACATAAAATCATCTTTATAAATACCTACAGATAATTACCAATAAGTTAAGTACTGGAAATGTTAAATAAAACGTACATACCTTTAAATTTATACCCATAAAACGTACCTACATAGAACACTAATGACTGATTATTTCAAATGTATGTAAACAGGACGTTTAGTTGACTCATATTTATTTCTGTTCTTCGATAATAACTATCGCATAAACTGGAATGCATGAAAATTCCATGATTCATAAATTGAAAATAACACAATATAAAAAATCTTTGTTGCATGTTGCAACTTGCACAGGCCCGGATCCAGAGGGGGTGGCGATGTGGCGATCGCCACCCCCAAAGCAAAACATTTTTTAAAGATCTTCAATTTCTCCAAACGACAACAGGCAGTTAGTCGATATTAATGCAAGTCCCCCTTCCTAACCTACACCTTACGTCATCAAAAAAATAACAACAACAACAACAGCAACAATAATAATAATAATAATAATAATAATAATAATAATAATAATAATAACAATAATAATGATAAAGAAGTGCTTTGCGCCACCCCCAAAACCAGTCTCTGGATCCGGGCCTGAACTTGCAACTGTGTTGCAAATTACACTTTATACATATGAGTAATATTTATTTACAGAATGACAGAATGACTTTATAAGCTGTTGTATATGTTTAACAATATATCGTGCAATATACAGACTTGGAGATAATATGCAGATACAAAATTCCATAATAATGCACAATCAGACCTTGAAACTTTGTAAACAATGGTTTTCGATCTTTGAATAGAAATTAAAGTGCTCATCTAAAGGTGGTTTTGCCTCAATTTTGAGAATATATGAAAAGTTGCTTTTTTTAACGTCATCGCATTGGCTGATGACCCAGCGTCGTACAATTGATAAGAATGCAACATGCAACAGAGTAACCAAGGAGGTTTTCGTTTTCACAAACAATGGTACCTAATATCAGTTCAGAGTAACTCTGAGTTGCTATTAGCTACTATTTTTGCCAAATCGAAAGGGCCTTAAGACATATCTTTTGTTCTATATTATTTAATAATATTCTATGCTATGATAATTTCATAACCAAGAAAATTTCCAAAAATTTTTTCAGAAAAAATATTTAGAGTTAGGATAGTATACGATAGTGTATTAAAAAAATGGTATTTAAGTGTCAAGAAAATTCATTTTTAAAAGAGGTAGGTTGACTAATAGTTTTTATTATTGATTTTTTTTAATTTTTGTGACAATTAAAATTTCTTTTCATATATTAAAAAATTATGCGTTATAAACTTAAAACAAAGATTTAAAAAAAGAGTAATTATAAATTAATTCTAGTTTACTTCTAAAGTAGTATCATGTAAAGAAGTTGAATTAAATACTGTAATAAATGGAAAAAAAGAAGACATAAAAGGTTATGAACTGATTTTAGAGGATACAATTCTTTTTCCAGAAGGCGGAGGTCAGGTATGTGGTTATTTGTTACATAATACAATTTTATTTTTTTATCTCAGACAGATAAACAAATTAATTAAAAACCCAAATATTTAAAACATATTTTTATTAAATATTTGATTTAGCCCTGTGACCATGGTTACTTAAACGAAGTTCCAGTTAAACTCGTTGTCAGGAAGGAAGATATAGCCATCCACTACGTCGACAAACCATTTAACATTGGCGATGACGTAAAACAAAATGTTGACTGGGAACGTAGATTCGACCACATGCAACAACATTCTGGCCAACATCTCATAACGGCCATTATTGAGAAAGAATTTGGGTTCGCCACAGCTTCCTGGTGGTTGGGTGAGGAAATTTCACATGTGGAACTAGGTAGAAAACGTACGTTAAATATTTTGTACGTTATTATGTACGTCTCATTCGTAGATACACCATCGATAACACCAGAACAGATAAAAAACGCTGAGAGAATCGCGAACGAGTTGATACGAGACGGAAAAAATGTGACGGTGAAGGTTTATACGAAAGACACTCCTGAAGAACAGCTCAAAGAGGTAACAATCATTAAATTAATATACAAATATTAATGTTAAATGCATTGTAAATTTCTGTAGTTTTTTTCTAGGCGAGAAGTACTAGGGGACTACCAGCTGACCACAAAGGGGATATTAGAGTCATTAATATCGAAGACGTAGAGAGTACGATGTGTTGCGGTACTCACGTCAAGAACCTCAGTCAGTTACAAGTTATTAAGCTTCTTCATGCTGAAAAGAGCAAGAGGAAAGATAAAATCTTCCTGTATTTCTTAGTGGGAAACAGGGTTATCAACAGATTGGAGACGTGTATTGATCGTGAACAAAAAATGACGGTTTTACTGAAGTAAGTGAGATTTTACTTGTTCGATAGGTTATAATTGCCTTTCTTCTAGGAACAACCCTTCTGAACACACTGACCTGGTGGACAAGCTCTTGAAAAACGTAAAAACGTTATCCAAAAATCTACAGACTGTTCTGAAAGACGTCGCGGTAACAGAAGCTAAAAACTTAAAAATTTTGGATCCTCCGCCGAAATATTTCTTTCTTCACAGGAAGGAAGCCGAACCGGATTTTATGAACGTGTTAATTAAGGAATTGGGACGAACGGATATATTTTTATTCCTTTCCACTGGGGATGAAAAGACAGTCGGAAATATAGTGCTCTATGGGGAAGAGAAATATGTTTCGGACCTAGGAAACCAGTAAGCAAATGTTTTCCGTTATAAAAATGTTTTAGTACTTACCGTTTATTTTTTTTAAGGATATGTGAAATGTTTAAAGGGAAAGGCGCCGGCAAAGGGAATAAATTTCAAGCCAAAGTCACAAAAATGGTGAATCGTAAAAAGGCCGAACAGTATATTAGTGATTATTTCAAAGATAAATAATGTTAATTTTATTGTAAATTAAAATAACCAATAAATTTTTAGGGATTGACCATTACAATTTTTTTTCACCAATACTGATAATCAAACGATAAAACGAACAGTACAGAATGCACTTTTATAGTTGTAACTTCATGTCGCTTCAAATTTTGTTCAGTCGTCTATAAACATTTTCAGCCCGGTTTCAATAATACAGATGAATACTATTGGAACAAATTTATTATATATTTTTTAATAAATGTACAAGTGTGATACACAAGGTTACGATCCATTCCAACAGCTTTCTTTCTTGAAAAATTCCTGTAACAAAAAAGTGAGGTTAGATTTTACAGTTCAATTTGTACAAAAAAAAAGCAAATAAAATTCTGTAATTCTCATTGCTGACTACACCACAAAAATACATTTTTAATTTTCACCATTACTCAACAGCTTCACTAAGCGAATAGATCACACCATGTGTTTCAATTGGTTCAACTGATGAGAAATATCTCATAATAATGGTTAAGAAATCACTATTATGATATGCAAACAAATTTACCTAAATTAACATCCTATCTTAGCCTTCTAGCTTCACGTTCAGATTCCAGCAAGGTAAGGATATCACCTTCTCTGACGGGCCCCTTTACATTGCGAATGATCTGACGATTTTGCTCAGCAATGAATTCTACTTTTACTTGAGTACATTGTCCCTGGGATCCGGTACGTCCTAAAACTTTAACAACGCGTGCGAGAACTACGGGCTTATCCATTTTTTTAGATTTTGCTAAGCGTGAAAAACACACACGTTAGTCGCCTGTATTTTTAACGAAAAGAAGGAAGTTGTGTTGTACGCATGTCCAACAGAAGGAAAATCGAGTTCCGTTCGAATTCAGCGGTAAATTCAAATTTTGAGTTCTATGGGCTGTCACATTCTTTTTGGTATTTTTCTGACATTTGAGTATAAATATTATTACATTTATTAGGAAAGTGTGCAAAGTCTACGTATTTACATATGGTGGGACGTTAATGCAGATTTATTTAATTTCGTTATAGCCTAGGTCGGATTAGTATACGTATACGATCGCAAAAAATTGCCAAAATCAAAAGTCACTAAATATCAGTTGTGAAAACTTGACAACTAGAAAAACAACTAAAACTAACGTCAACGTCGTTTGACAGCTCTGACAGGAGTGAACAAAATTTATTTAAGGAATTTGCACTATTTTTGTAGTCGATTTGATACAAAAATATAACAAATAAAAATGTGAAAGAAGTATCTTCAACAAATTATGTACTGTCTGCAGTGGCTTATTCCGGTTTTGTTAATGCCAAAACCATCAAATCCAGCACTGGTTCAAACCCACGTAATGTTTATGGTGTTATATCTAATAGGATTTTTCTTGGAGAAAAAACCATGTACGATATGCAGTCTAGTATTTCTAGCAACAGTATTTCTGATTTGTTACAGTGGTCTAGGTAATTGCTTAATTTGGGCATCGTACTGTGAAAACGAGAATGGATAACACTTGTGCTTGCTGTGGAAAGGATACTAAGTTATCATCACAAGGATTTGATAGCTTTACATTGATGAGGTGATTTTAATTTCTAGCTAAAGAACTTATTGTATTTCGGCAGTTGTTAAATTGAAATTTGTTGTTGACAGTAGTTATTTATTAAACTGTAAATATTTTTATATTATATTTTCCTTATTATATGTACATGTGATTGTGTAATATTAAGTATGTTTTTTTACGCCAAAGACTTACTTTTATAAAGAAAATGCCTTTTTTATTGTCTGGGCAAATTGGAATTTTGTATAAAAAATTCGAATTGTTATATTCATTACACCACAATAAATGACTTTTTTTCCATTCCAGTTATTTATTATTTATCGGGAAGTCTTCTAGAGTTCTCTGTATGTCGCTGGTACCAATTTGGTACCTATTAACAGCCTTGATTAAAATTCAGTTCTAATAATGAAATTATAAAATAAATAATTGTAGTTTTGAGCTGTCATCATGTCTGAAGTTAACAAGTTTCTTGTAAAAATGATGTTGCAATATATGCAGTTTCCTAAGATATGTCTTAAGAACAATAGAAATTTTTATTTACTTTGATAATTTAAATATTTTTTAAATTGTTATCAGATTGTTAAATCAAGTCAGTTATGTAGAGATAGTCCAGCGTGTACTAATTTTTTATATCAGTATGTATTCAAGACAATTAATTTTACTAAACCTGTTACTGTTATGTAATTTTTGTGAATGTGCGAAAATTCTAGCAGTAATGCCTACTCCATCTTATAGCCATCAAGTAGTATTCCAGCCTCTTTGGAAAAATTTGTTGTTGAGGGGACATGAAATTACGCTTTTAACGACAGATCCTTTAAAAGATTCAAACTACACTGGCTTGAAACAAATCGATTGGAGTTTCACTTACCGTTTGTGGCACGAGACTCATAATTTTAGTAGCATCATAATAAATTTCAGGCAAAATAAGTTGAACAGCTTTAATCTCTTTTTCACAATGATGCAAGATATATTGAGTCAAGAACTAGATCATGAAGACGTACAAAAACTAATTCACGACGAGAACGAACGTTTCGATTTAGCTATAATAGAATTTCTACATCCCACAATGTTAGCTTTCAGCGAAAGGTTTAATTGTCCATTCATTGGTGTTTCTTCGATGGATATAATCACTAGTGGGCATGAAGCGATGGGTAATCCAACGAATCCGGCGATTTACACTGATTTTCTTGTTCCTTACGATTCTAAAATGAATTATTTAGAACGACTCTTAAACACACTTAGTTACTTAGGAACATGGCTGTACTTTCATTGTTACGTGTACCCTAGAGAAGATGTTTTTATAAAAAGGTATTTCGGCGAAAATATCCCAAAGTTGGAAGAGGTGCAGAAGAAAGCGAGCTTAGTATTTTTAAACACCCATCCTGTTCTCCATGACGTGAGACCTTTAATGCCTAATGTTATTCAAATAGGCGGTGCCATTCATTTACGTAATCTGACAGCTTTGCCGCAGGTAAAATAAACAGCATTTTTAAGTGATAAAATCAGTTCAGAGAATGCGTTTTAGGATTTAGAACTATTCCTTAATAGTTCGGAACAAGGAGCGATTTATTTTAGTTTAGGGTCCAATGTTAAAGTGCGAGACTTACCCGCAGAAACTTTTACTATATTATTGGAGACGTTGGCCGAGTTACCATTCAGAATTGTGTGGAAAACTGAAAAAACTAATTTCATAAATAACGTAAGCAACATCTATGCCAGCGCTTGGTTACCGCAGCAAGAGATATTAGGTAAGGATCCAAATTTGATGAGAGACTTGGTGTTTCTGATAAACAACATTTTTTGGGTTAAATTTAGAAATACCACTATATTTTAGCTCACAAAAGTGTTAAAGCCTTTGTGACACAAGGAGGGCAGCAGTCGCTCGAAGAAGCAATTTATTACGGAGTTCCGATAATTGGTTTACCGTTCTACGTTGACCAGTTTGCCAACATCAGGAGATTATCGAGGAAAGGAGCGTGTATAGGTTTAGACATCGAAAATATGAGAAAAGAAGACTTTCAGAAGGCTGTCTATGAAATTACTACAAATCAAAGGTATCCGACTGACAATATTTTAGGAACCAACTACTCTGGGGACTATCAGCCCTGACCGGCATTGAGTTATACCAACGGTATCTGCTAAACAGCTAGGATCATTCCTCAGAGGAACTCACCAGACATATACTGGTTTCAGATTTATTAGTTGTAGTCGGTGTGTCATAGGTGAGACAACTGATGCATAATTCAGGCTGTTTTTGATGTCTTGGAGTGAATATAGACCAGGTGTAGTTAAATCTATGAATGTTTACTTGATATTGTTGGTATAATTCAATGCTGGTCGGGTCATTAGTCTGTAGGATAGTTTCCTGTAATGTCGTCAGTGAAATATCAGTTTGGCTAATTGCACTGATCACTCTGCCATGTCTGGTATGCAAATGTATCCAAGTTGTGGTATTAAATATATTGTTTTTTTGCAGTTACTTGAAAGCGGTGCAGGAATTGTCAGTTTTGTTAAAAGAGGAGCCGATTTCTAGCCTGGAGAAAGCTGTTTGGTGGACGGAATACGTAATCAGACACAGAGGTGCGAAGATACTGAGGAGTGACGTACCGCACATGCCGTATTACCAATATTACCTACTTGACGTTATAGCGACTTTCTTTTTTATTTTGGTGGTAATTTTGTTCATCGAATATAAATTAGTCAGAAGCATAATTAAACGTATTCGGTCAAAGATGAGAGGGGATAAGCTTTATAAATTGGAATAATTTATTAAAAATTGTAAATATGTAATGTACAAAGTGTTTTAGGATTAATCGGTGCAGCTTGGAATTTGAATTTAGGCGGTCAAAACAGGAAACGAATGAAGGTTTTGTTTTCGAGACACAAACTGAAAAAAATTACGGTTTCTAAAACGTCTCCGAAGATGTTTGACGGAGAATGATGAAACATGTAGAATTACTCGTTTCAATAACAAAGTTTATATAATTTTTTTTGTACGAAGATTAGTGCTACCGAGCTTTGTACATCGAAATTTCCTGGTTAAAAAATTATAAAAAATTCAGTAAGCGTCGTTCAAAATCCTTCGAATGTTTGAAATATTTTCTTTTGCTATTCGATCCTGCGAAATTTAGGAGATATTTGGACTCCATATTCCCAAATTTGTACGCAAATAGGCAACCAGCAATACATTTTTATAGATTTTATTACACAGTTTGTCTAAATATAAATTAATGCACAACTAACAGATTTTCCTCCATTCTAACGCAGATTTTCTATAAAATGGTTGAAACTGAAATTAATTTTTGGTGTAAAGAAATTTAACCTAGCCACCTTGTGTAATAAAATCTATAGAAGCGTATTGCTGGTCGCCTATTTGCTATACAGCCCTCTCAAAATTCGGCACTCTATTGATCGCTGACTTAAAAATCCAAAATCAAATTCAAGGTCATATTGGATTCTTGATATATTACAACTTTTATTTAACTTTCTTTTTATAGAATATTTAGGGCTCCATCAATAGGACATTTTATTTAATATTTTCATGTTGAGCTTGAAATTTAAGGTCAAGGTCACCAGCATATTAGTTTCTTGATACCCATCAACTTTTACCTGAAACTTTCTTTGAAAGGACTTAATCCTGAAAAGTTACGAGAGGTTCAGTCCTTTTGGAGCACCCTGTATATGAATCAAAGTTCAACAATTCGGGGTCTGGGATATATCCTATTAGAATTGCGCTTTGCATAGACCGAGATGCTTGTACAGCATTTTGACGACATTCTCCGTAAACTAAAATCATTACCGTTTCATTTTGACTAACTAAATAGGTAAAAAAAGCTATTTCCTTGCCTTCTGCAACTAAACTTTTATGAAATGTGTTATTTTGGCATCAGCTATATAACCCTTGAAAATTATACTTGGTTTCTTGACATCCAACTACTTTTACCTGAAACTTTCTTTTATAGGACTTAATTCTGAAACGTTACAAGAGGTTCAGGTCGTTTTGGAACACCCTGTGTATGAATCAAAATTTAACAATTCGGGATCCGGGATATATCCTATAGAATTGCGCTCCGCATAGATCGAGATGCTTGTACAGCATTTTGACGACATTCTCCGTAAACTAAAATCATTACCGTTTCATTTTTATTCTATATCCTATAGAATTGTGCTCCGCATAGATCGAGATGCTTGTACAGCATTTTGACGACATTCTCCGTAAACTAAAATCATTACCGTTTCATTTTGACTAACTAAATAGGTAAAAAAAGCTATTTCCTTGCCTTCTGCAACTAAACTTTTGTGAAACGTCTTATTTTGGCATCTGCCCTTGAAAATTATAACCCTGCTTTCACAATCAATCGCAATATATCTTCATCACTGGTCGACGTATTTGCGTATGAATTCCACCGATTTTTACTTTGCTTGTTTTCAAGTTTCGACATCGTTTATCTCGAAAGCGATTCAAATTTTAGGTGCGGTAGATTAATCCTGAAACGCTTTGTGCAATTGTTGGAGGTAAAACTAAAGTTTTACGTTCGACGTTCCAGAAGAAGAAGAGATTTATTGATAAATAAAACAATGTATATTAAACAATAAAAAAGGCTTGTATTACAATAAATGCAAATATAAAAAATAACTTAATAAATAGAAACTAAATATCAACAGTTTCAGTCATTCAAAAGACATAAGATTACTCGGCAGGGGCATCTGCTCGCCGTTAGTAGCTTGCCTTATGCAGCAGCACCACCGTTCCGCCATACTCCTGCTGCCCGTTCGAAATTTGTAAATGTTTCCTGAAACACAACGCCAACACATGACATTATTAACGTTGAAGCAATTTTTTTTCTAGACATGCACTTGAAATAAATTAACTAAATTCGCATTTTCAAAGAAACATGTTTCTTAAAAATATTTAAAAACGGCAGTTCTGAATGTGCGACTACTGCAAAATTAAGTGTTTTTTCTTAGAATTGTCAAACAATCGTGTTTTAACAATTATTTCAGTAATTATTTAACAAAAAGCTGTAAATAACTGGTATTCGACGTATAGCACTTTATTGCACCAATGCGATAAAGGTACACCTCTTGCAATCAAAATGTTCCATCGGAGTATCATTTATTACACTGAAAATGGGAAAAATTAATTTACGCTGCCAAAAATGTTTCAAGTTCATAACAAAACTTCAAATTCCTTTTGCTCCTAAATTAGTTCGCATCTCTCAAATTTTTAGCAACGTTTCCAACTACAAACCAGGAAAAATTGTCAGAACTGTAAAAGTCAAGTTATATTCCATTATATCTTTTAACCTTACCTAAATTATTAAAAAAAGTTGTGTATAAGTGCGAATCGACATACAGACACTGTCAAGATGTAGTGATAAAATTTTGATTGCGATCTTTATTGCACTAGTGCGAAATAAATATTGCACTGGTGCAAAATAAATATTGCACTGGTGCGAAATAAATATTGCACTGGTGTGAAATAAATATTGCACAACTACGAAATAAATATTGCACCAATGCGAAATAAATATAGCACTGGTGAGAAATAAATATTGCACTAGTGCAACAAAATAGCCAGGCACACAGTATCTTATCGCTCACCTCTCTGATGGTCGATAATTTGAAACGTGTCCTGCTGCAGCGTATTCTCCTCCCTCACCACTTGACAGCTAGCGAGCGACACCAACTTGCACGGTTCTCGCTTGAAATCGCTCCGGTGATGCCTGAAAATTTTTTCTAATGATCACCTCAACCGTACGACTAAATAAATACGATTCGCCTACCCTTTAAATCCTTTGGGGGCGAAATAAACCAGCGACGACGACCAGATCTGCAACCAGTACCGCTGCCAAGACGAGACGGTTGGCCTCTTGCCTTCCTTCAACATCGTTTTCCTCCGGATGGAACCCTGCATGGCACAAACGTTCTCTTCCGAACTTATCGAGTCCTCGGACAACCTGCGGCAGAAACACGTCGATGCCAGTCAGTGAAAGAACAAACGCTTTGCCCTAAGAAAGGGGCAATTCGTTTGCTCGCTCGAATCGCATTCGTGACTTGCGGAATATTGAACAGTTTAATGGGATTCAGTTTTCGTACATAAACAATACCTGAACATAATATTTACATTGATTAGTTTCGAGTTTTTAATTTAAAATGAAGGATTGAATCTGTTTCACTTCGCGAGCGACACATTTTCTCGTATCACGACAGTGTATAATTTATTAAAATTAGTCCGTTATTATAAATAAATAATAACTTTCCTACCTTGAGGAAGGTTAAAAGTACCATAGGTCAAATTATTCCATATTTAATACTCATTTGGATTCGTTACGTGATATACAGGGTGTCCACCGGGAACTGCGTCGATCGATATCTAGGAAAGTATACAGGGTGGTCCAGATTTTAATAGACAAACTTCGGGAAGGGACTAAACAACAAAAATTAACATCACTTTGCTCTATGAACATAAGGGCAGAAAGCCACCATTTATGAGATACAGGGCGTTGAAATTATCAAAAATAAAACAATTTTTTTAAATATCTGGAAAACCGCTCCATCAAATTTATCCAAATTTGGTACACATACTTTTTCAAATATTTCTCCTAGATATGTACGCACACAGTCCAAATCCAAAAACCAGTGGCGGAGAAACAAGGACGTTGTTTCCTTATTTAGAGTAAAACTTTTATGCCACTGAATTAATTCGTAATATGAATACATTTTACAGCGGTCTGACACATTCCAGATGAAAAAACACTGTTTTATTTTTGTCGAAAAGTGAATGGTTTAAGAGTTATGTTATGAGACATATTATGATGCGGTTTTCTAGATATTTAAAAAAATTAGTTTATTTCTGTTAATTTCAACGCCCTGTATCTCATAAACGGTAGTTTTCTACGTTCAAATTTTCCCGAAGTTTGTCTATTAAAATCTGGACCACCCAAATGTGTTGTATAAATGTATTTTTTTAATCTGTCGTCCGCAGATTGAAATTTCCTTTCAAGCCATATAAGCATTGTTAGGGTTGTCGTTACTACTTTTAGAGATATTTGCAATTTTCTATTCTTTGGACACTTTTTCCCGTATCAGACCTGTTATCAAATTGGCCATGACCAGAAACACTCCAAAAATAATTGAAATAAGTTGACATTCGTCAAGTTAGTTGTCAAATTATTGTTGTGTCTAGTTTTTACTGAAAATTTAAATGGGGATCGCTTAAATTATATTCATGAGGATTATTACTTTATCACATTTTCCATAAATAACAAGCAAATTAAAATAATCCTCAATAGTATAATTTAAACGATCCCCACACATTTTTATTTAAATTTTCTGTAAAAACTATTCAGACAACAGTAGTTTGATAACTAACTTGACAAATGTCAAATTATTTCAATTGTTTTCGGAGTGATTCTAGTCATGGCCAATTTGACAACAGGTCTGATACAAGAAGAACTGTCCAAAAAGTAGAGAATTGCAAACAATGCTTATATGGCTTGAAAGGAAATTTCAATCTGCATATGACAGAGAAAAAAATACAGGGTGTTCCATTTAAGTTAACAAAGTTATAGCTGTTCGAATTTAAAATAACGAAGTAGGTGTCAACTTCTAGTATAAGTGCTAGAGTTCTAGATATTTTAGTTGTGTTCGCTCCAGGGATATTGCATTGTTGCCAAATTTTCAAATTTTTCATACCGGTACTTTCCTAGATATCGACTGACGCAGTTCCCGGTGGGACATCCTGTATATCTTTTTAAAAAGGCAAGCCTTAAGCTTTTTTCAATGGATTTGTTCAGAATAAATCAACAAAATTGTTAAAAATATTTTCCAAATTTACACATTTCATTTTGTAATTTGCCTACAACCTTTTCGCAGCTAAAAACAACCGAAACTTAAAAAAATCTAAATAAACTTGTACAAAAATATCTTGCTCGAATTTTTAACTCCCTTTCCAAATTTTTATAGGCCCGTCTGCGACGATCTGCTTTACACGCCCCAAAAATAAGAAATGCTAGGAAAAACTAGAGAAAACTCACCGTGTGAGCAACGTACAATTATCCGCGCTACTTTGTGATGCCTGGAGCGGCAGCTCCGACGTGGGCGATGGCAAGTTACTGTGGATCATGGGCAGGACCCTCGTGGTGTCCTCTAACTCCGAGTCGTCTAAAAGGTGGAGCGTCTTCGGTAGATTCGGTAGATCGAAGCTACCGACTTGATGAGATTTGCTAAAAATACTGCAACAAATTAACCGATAAAATGAAATTATCGCCGCATTTTATGGGACGGTTAAAGTTACTGTTTTGAATTGAGGAAAAGGACAATCGGTTCTAGTTCTGGGAATAAATCTGCTGAAAGGTAAAAAAAAACAGTAACAGTTTGTCCCATAAACGACTCGAATGTATGAATAATTTACATAGATGACGATGAATTTCCACAAACATTCCCAAAAAATTACTAAATTATAAAACCTTGCATTGTTCGCTTCGGAAAATAAAAATAATGTGCCTTTTCTACTCGTCAATTCAGTACCTGCACGTAAAACTACTGGAGAGAGTATATATAAATCATAAAATTTTAATAAAAAATGTCAAGACTGATTTTTGGGTCAAATTTGGTGTGGTGGACTAATTCATGTACATTTTAAGCTATATACAGCATGATTCCAACAACGTATATCGCCCTAGTCATGCACTTCAATGACAATGATTATTTGCGAGAATAACAAAAGAGGTAACAAAACTTCTTAGCAACATAACCTAACAAAGTGTACATCACCACTCAAATGTCATTGCTACTCAACGCCTACTGGCACAAAGCATAACTTTGTGCCTACTGGGAGTAGGTAACTTTGTGAAATATAACCTATAAAGGACATGTCACATCTTAAATATCACTGCTATTCCATGGCTACTGGCACAAAGCATGCTTTGCACCTACTGGTAGAGACATCGGTTATTATTTTCGCAAAATACACAGTTTTAAAATTAATCTTCCGTGATGGTCACCACATCGTTGGCTGAAAGTTACTGAATTTCAACTGATTGTCTAAACCGACGACATGGCAACCATCCTGAAAATTGTTAATACTAACTTTTAACGATTATATTAGTGAGCTTCGCCGGCAACGACAACATTAATTTATATTATACTCTCTATCTACACACAGACATTCTAGGAGATCTCTACGACGTCTCTGTTTAAGCAAGGCATTCGGAAGAACTTACCCCCAGGGTAACACCACGGAGGGATACCCTGTTTTGTGGAAATTACGAGGAAGACTTGTGCTACGAAATCTAAACAAAACACCAGGGTGAGAAGGTAGATTATTACGACAAAAATAAATTTCACACACTCACTCGAATGAACATGACGGTATGTGTGTTGGTTTAAAATAACGTTTACAAGCGTACAAAAACAATGAAGTATCAATATTTTTTATATTACTGATCGACCTACTCTAAATAATTTTCTTGACACATAACTTGGCAAAGTCGCAATTCAAAAGTAAGTATGTAAAATGTAAGTATGGATGAATTTTTTAAACAATTATATCTGCAATTAAAATTTATGCATCTGTATCTTGTGTAGTGTGTCATTTTTATGCGTTATACCCGTGGTTCAACGTATTTATCCGACGATCGAAAAAAAAATATAATACGTACTTTGTTCCTAGACTTCGAGACCTGTTGTGCCCAGGCATGAACTTGCTGCCTGCGGTGACGGCGTGCAATCTCAATGAACCGGACGAAGCTTTAGCGGGGGACAAGTTAAGCGAAGCTATAGCGACAGCGTCGGCGACAATGGACTCCTTAGAACTACAACTGGAGGAACTGGGTGGAGGCGAGACGGGTTCCAGTCTAAGAGACAACCTAAAAAGTACCGCCGGTTTTGTAGATCGTCACAAAAAAGTTAAGTTAACCTTTCTACTAACTTGTATTGGTCGTCTTCGACGAATTTCTGCAATTCTTCGATATATCTGATCGAGTTCAAATAATCCTGCACGTGGCGGATTACGGGCAGATGGGAGTAATCCGAATGTTGGTAATTTGAGATTATTCTGAGTATGTTGTTCATTTTTAACTGTCTCTGGTGAGATTCCAACCCACCCGAATGAGGATGGGCCATATCGATATACACTAAATCAGTTAAATATAACCCTGAAATAATTCGAATATAGTTTCCAAGTTTGTAAACGCCGCGTTATAACAAAGACGTACCAAGATAAGGTATACACGGTAACTTCAAGCTTTCAATGTGTTTCCTGAGATTCTCCCAGTTGTTGTCGTCGGAAAAGACTTCTGCGAGCTTGTCGAACATTTGCTTCTCTTTCTTAGACAAACAATACCAAGTTTTCGATAACCTAAACGGAACACGATTTAATACGTTTAAAGAAAAACTACGCCACCAACTAACCTATACACGGAGGCACTTTGTAAGGCAGAGATTATTGCAAACAACGAGTGGAGATTGTTCAAATCGTACAGCTTCTTCGCAATCTTAATAAAGTGAGTAAGCGTCTCGGATCTCTGTTTCGGGGTCGATCCCGACAAAATTTCCTGCACCGCCCAAAAACTCACCTAAGAATTATCGATTTACTTACTTGCTGAATATTTTTTATCGGTACACTTACGTGGTTAAACCTCCTACTGAAGGCCACGACGTTAGGGGCTACGGTCAATTTGTTTTTCTTGTTCCAGGCGCAGCTCGTGAGTTCGTCGGGCTGGATACCCAGGAAAACAGGTAGATCTAAGAGGGTTAGCTGACTGGCAAAGTCCTCCGGCGATATTTTGAGTATGTCAAAAATAGCACAACTATAATCTTTCTTGCAGTGTGAGGCGTGATTGGGCAAGCTCTGAGATTTCACATGAACAGGTACTGGAGTGAGGGAATTCCTGAAAAAAGATATTCAGCTAGCAGAAAATAGACAAAATTTTAAACTAGAAACCAGACTGTAGGTTTTCCAAGGTTTTTGCTTCATCACGTTTTTTCGCTGTATTTTATGATCAGAGGTAATTTTTCTCTAAAAAAATCGTTTCGACACCTGAAAGTACTACTCTTCGTCTTCAAAATCCATTTTGAATGGTTCGAATATCACTTTTCCTCACCAAGACATTGTCTGCTGAAACTGATTAGTGATTACTTTGACGTATAGGGTATCATCAGTTGAAGCCTCAATAAGTTCATGTATACAATTTTTTTTAAATAAAAAACAAGCTTTTAGTGACGTCATTTTATTTCCTTATTCTTCTCAGCAAACCCTTTCATTTGATATTCATGGGGGTGCACATTGGGGGGGAGGAAGGTGCATAAAAAATAACTGGTACCACGGTCCGTAACTGGTCAACCATATTGGATTTAGAATGACGTTACCAGGGAGACTAGACAAGGAGCACGAACTCATACGGGAAAATTGACAAAATTTGTCCAAGAAATGGCAAAGTTGGGGTGGCGCTAGTGTTCCATATGTCCCAAGTGAATGTAGAATAATAAATACGAGTGAAGTAAGCAAATAACCAATTTTATTTTATAATGAGTTTAGTAGATATATCGGGGAGGTATACTAACCTAAAAACTAGAAGTCAAGTCAATAGCTTTGTTCGTAAACCTTCCACTGCTACTAGTGTAGTAATACGTTGTTCGTTTATTGCAGTGTAGCCAAGTGCAGGTATAATCCAGGTGTTCGTAAAGTCCAGTGTAGTGTAATAGTGCAGACACTACTACACTGGCTAACAAGGTGGTGTAAAAGTGTAGTGTAGTATATTTGTGGCGCGAAAATGAAACTTTTATCACAAATGTCACATCTTGGTAGATATTTTAGATAGATCGTTAAAAATTTGGCAATATTTGATTTTACTCTGAAATGGCTGATAAATTCGTCTTCCTCACAGTTTCGAACAAGTTCTATAACATTTGTAATGCACTTTTTTTTATTTTTTTGGAAACAGGTCTCCAATAAAACATGAATTTTTCTTTTTTTACGAAGGTAATCATCATCTGATTCCGATTCGCTTCCAGAGTTACTAAATAATTCACTCATCACAAATATTTTCTCCATGATTTACAATTAGGTTATGCCAGTTTACCCAAATTGAATTAACGAACAGCCAAATGTTCTCTAAAAGTGGTGCACAAATATTATTTTAGTGTAACACTGAATTCCACTACACTACACTACACTACACGTTGTGTAGGTTTACGAACAAAGCTAATAATTATTACAATTTGTTTTTATAATGGTAAATAAAAAGTTTCGAAAAATAATTTAACGATACATATGGAACACTAGCGCCCTCTTATTTTTGTAAGATTTTTGTTTACATGGAGTTGGGGAAGTCGCTTATTACGAATCTGATGTTACTATAACAAAATTCAAAATGGCGGATGGAATAAAAAAAGAAGTGCTGGGATTTAGAACTGAAAAAATTCGTCAAATTTCGAAAACCAGAAGAACCAGTGGAATTTGGGTGTTTGTAATTTGATTTTTCTCTCTTTCTGACCCTGATGCCGCTCAATTTCCGATTATCAACAAGTACGGCATACTAATACATTTCAACGAACATTCGAATGATTCGAAATGGATTTTGAAGGGGGAAGGAGTATTTTCAGATGCAGTAACATCGAAAACCATGTTTCCAGAAAGTACAGTCTGGTTTCTGGTCGGTCTGATTTACAGTGTTTGTTATTTATTTAACGTAAAGGTAACTTACCCATAACTATGATAATATGGTGGTCCGGGCCCACCTGATATGCTAGGTGATGAGTGTTTTCTAGTTTTAATACCAGAAATTCTGTCATTTTGAGGTACTATTGCTAGTTCACTATCTTTTTGTGATGTATAGCTTTTGTCATCTCGACCCTGCAATATTTATGTTAGAAAAAAATACTTTTTTTTCATATTGTGTTACCTCTGAGATTTTAAGCATAGAAAGACTGTCTCCAGAAATATCTCTTGGTATTTCCGAATAACGCATCATTTTCAGGTCATGGTCATATTTTGTATTCTGAAACTAATAGAACAAATAACATAAGCCTTGTTTACATATTCGCTCTTGTTTATTAAAGCTTCATGGTAAATCCAATCACTATTGATTGATTGAACCGTTGGTTTTAGTGTTAATAGCATACATAAGGGCGACAGAGATTTTTTAGAAGAGCCGCATTTTGCATTTTCATTTTTTAAATTCATCTACATAGTTCCTTGATTGTAAGAAGTATTCTAATTTGATGGAGTAAGCTTGTAATGAGACATATTTGATAGCTTTTGATTAACCAATATAAATGCTTTATTTTTAAAGGCTTGGTTTGAAATTGTTTAGAATTGAATTGAAATCTCACGGTTTTATTTAGTATTAAGAATAACAATAAAACCAAGCGTTTAAAATAATGGCTTAACATTATTTAGTAACAAATTTCTGCATCTTGATATTAATTTAATTCAATAATAAACATTTTTCAATCTCGTTTTGTTATGAAGCAATTTGGCATAACATTCATTAAGTATATTTTATCTTTTTTATAAAAAGCAATGACGTGAAAAAAAAATATAAAAACATAAACATTTATTTAAAGAAATAAAATTACTGTTATAACTGCTAATAATTATAATCCTCATCATTAAGTGGAAAAAAATGACAATATGTTTTATTATTAACAAATCACTGATTATAGATTGAACAAAAACAATCAATTTAACATGGAAGAACACTTACGAAGCACAATATGACTCTTTTGATCTGATCCAACAAACTTTTGGGAACATTCCCGACAGACTTATCGTGGGGACCCATCTATGTATCACTATAATCAAACTGCCACTGTCATCCAGCATTGACAAATGCACATATTTAGTGTCACGAGCGGCGGAATAAAGTTAAAAATAACAATAAAAATAAACAATTACGGTTCGGACGTGACGCGAAGTATAATCTATTTAATTGGGACTTGGGTCGATTGATGTAACTTAGTGTAAACAAGGAATCGTGCCTTGAGGCTACCGGGTGTCCTAACCTCGATGGTTCCGTTGGGTTACAGCTTTTGAGCAATAAAATAACGAGAACAATAACCAACTCAATAAAATGTCTAAAGGCTCTTTCAAGAAAGTATTTCTTTTCGACAATCTATTATACTTTTTCTATTTATATTAATGATAATACAACCTCTCCAATTATCCATTATTCTTCAGGAATTATATAATAAACGTCCAAATATGTCCAAATTTCACTTTGAGAAGAAAATTCGGTAGAAACTCATGTCGGATACAGCAATGGAACACCCTGTACGAGTCCAATGTTCTAGTTCGTTCGTCAGTCAAAAACTACTTGTCGACAATAAATTAAACATAATTACCCTTATCCACAACAATTAGACTGTAGCGTCAAACAATAATTAATGTACTTAGAACAGCCACAATATAAATAATGAATGAGTATTACTAATAGAAAGGACAAGAAAGACATTTTTTAGAGTGTTTCCAATAACCCTCGTTTATTTCAAGAGTTCGTTCCAAGCCAAAACTGTTTAATTCTTCATTATTACATTCTGACTTGTTTTTTTAAACATCGACATTTCGTATCAAATGTTTCATAATATTCTTGTCAATTAGAAGACATTTTTGTTATAAACAACTGTTTACACTTAATTAAAGTAAACATTAACTTATTTTTTTCACTTTCTCGTGTGATACAAAGGCAATATTTCAGTGGTTGTCCAGTATTTCCATGCTGTTCAAATTTATGGATATTGTTATGGTTCTCCAACTTCCTATTTATGTTTCGTCCCCAACGCACTGTCTAGATCTAGAAAACTAACTAAAAAAGTGTAGGAGGCGTCACGTAGGTCGCAATAATTGCGCAAACGGGATATTAACAGAAAGTGGACTGTATACAAAATAACACCCGACTAATTATCATCTTGCGCAGCGCAATTCAAATCCTCTGACGCAAAAGTTGTGCCATTTATCACTTTTTCTATTTAGAGACCGTGAACCGCTGGAGTGATAACCGTCACAGTTCAGATGGCTAGGTTCAGTTTCACCAGCAATGTCGAAAGGATTGCGAGAAATACCACAACAGTAACACCTAATTTATGCGCGATTCACGGCTGCACGGAAGGCGGAACGGAATTGTTCCGCAAATAACGAATACAGAAGTTCGTAAGGAATTCAGATAGTGCGCCCTTTGGAAAATTCTCTTCAATAAAATATATACAGGGTGTTCCACCTACGAGGGATTCTTCTATAACTCTGCAACTGTAAAATTTATAAAAAAATGGTTTTAATAAAAGTTACCTGGAATCATGTCGGCCATTTTTAGCTTTACAGGCGGTTCCATTCGCGTGGGCGCTACATAACTTTGTTATTTTAAATGGAACACCCTGTATATTATCACGTTTTTAAATTCCTCTTAGGTGGAAAACCCTGTATAGTTAAAATAACTATGTTTTTTTATTGAAATGGAATGAGTATAATATTACTTAAGCCCGATTTACATTTACAAAATTTCACCAACAAATTGGCCAAGAACTTACAGATTTAAATTGGTGCATGTAGTAAAGAAATTGTTAGAATGAAGACAATAGAATCGGTTCTAATTCATTTCACAATTTTGGTGACTTTTAAAGGCTTTTGATTTTTATCCAGTAGTATCAATATCAGTTATATCTTTGTGTGAATATATGGTGTGTCTAAATGCATGACGTGACGTCACTTGAGAGAGAGCCCGGCGAAATCACGGCATATGTTGCCGTGAAAATGGAACTTTCTATCGTTTTCCTGATAATCCAGAACTTTTGTGACCCGAAACATCTTCACATCGTCCATTTTATTATGCAAAATCTAATCTATCGTTTTATATTGACATATCGGTACGGATTAAGTAAGAATATTTTTTTATCCTAATAACCAACTTTTACTACGAATGAAATGTATGAATATCAAAAATTAATCGTATATAACTAGCTTATTAGAGTATTAAATTGGGAATAAACATATTTAAGAATTTGGTGATACCAATTCGGAAAATCAAATGCCATATACTGATTTCATATTTTACAAATTTACAAATAATACAGTCATTGAAGCTTTTCACATCCGAATTCTTTGAAACTGAACGGATCGACTTGAAATTTGGCAGATAGTTACAGAAAATGTCAATGAATGTTAGTGACATAGCGCCGATTGACGCTTCCACCCTGTTGGGGGTTGATACCCCTTATTGGGGGTAAAAAAAATTTTTTCAAAAATAAATTTTTTCGAGAAATCAATAATTTTTTAGTTATTCACGATTGAAAACTTGGAATTTTGAATGAAAAAAAAAAAAAAACACTTTCAAAGTATTTTTCGCGAGTAACTCAAAAACTACGCATTTTATTAAGAAAGTGTTATGAACAAATATGTAGCTTATAAATAAACAAAGAAAATCGTTTTTTAAAAAGTGTTGTACATCCTATACAAAGCGAAATATGGTTAGTGGAAGGGGACTTGTTTTTGGGGGGTATACTCGAATCGATGTATTCAACGTCAAATAACGGAAAAATGATTAATTTTACGTGTATAATGCTCCTGGAGTTTTTTGTAGTACTCAAAAAGACATTCAAAATAAGTATTTATAAAAGTTAATTAGAACAAAATTGAAGGAGTTATCGTCAAAAACAGATGGGTTGCTCATATTTTTTAAGGAAAAATGAGCAGTAAACGCTGTACCATTTCCATCAAAATTAAAATTAATCGTAGACCCTTTTCAATTAGTTTTGTTTTAGTGTTTGTCATACGATCCTGAAGTTAGACCGGTTTAGAATGCGTATTTTTTGAATAATGTACGGTAAAAGTTGAAAACGTATTTTTCATTATTCAAAAAAAATTGCCTTATATATATTATAACTCTGAAACTATGAAAGATACGTAAAAAATGATAGACAACAAAAATGTAGCTTTTTTTCCAACAAATATTTTGCTTTTTTTCCTATAGTATAAAAAATAAAGGAGATATCGCCCCTTGGATACTAGTACATTTTAGTGAAAAATCGACCTGTGCCGAGCCCTTTGACCCTTTCCCTTTAAAAAATGAAGGACTTAAAAGGTTTTATATGCAAACGATCTTACAGCTCTTGAAATTATCTTTAAAATTCTTTTTTGTACGATACTATAGCTTCAAAATTAACCGAGTTATGGTAAAAAAACCAATGACATTTTTTCGGAGCAGAATACGCTCACTCATTTTTATATATTATAACGAGCGTTCAAATAAAAACGTGGTCAAGTTGGTTCTGAAAATTTGGACGTAGGGCGTAGCGTATAGCAAATGAACTTAAACGTCATCTGTCAAAGCGCTATATCGCCGCTTTGTTATTGAAACTGACAGCTGCTATACAGCTTGTTGAGAAATGAGGTTAAGTTGGTCGCTATAAGCTACGCCCTACGTCCAATGTGTCGGAGCCAACTTTGACCACGTTTTTATTTGAACCCTCGTTATTTTATATTAAACAAATAAAATAAGTAAAAAAATTTAGTATGATTATTTATATGCAGCGTAGTAATTTTTTTATGATTGATTATATTTAAAAATTGATTATAATAAAAATATTTTACATTAATATTGGCAAAAGGGTAGTTTATAAGAGTTGAAAATGGCAAAAGTAAAATATTCTTTCATAAACAATACAAGGGAATTTTTATTTTAAATTATTGCACAATTATAGCATTCCAAGATTTAAAACGTAATTTTTTATCATTTTTTAGTACAGGGGTGATTTATAAGGGTTGGAAAGTGTTATGAGATACAAATTCTTTCATAAGCAATGAGGGAATTTTTATTTTAAATAATTGCACCGTTAAAGCATTCCAAGCTTTTAAAAAGTAATTTTTCATCAATTTTGTCAATACAGGGGTGGTTTTTAGGGGTTGAAAGGGAAAAATTCTTTTATTAGCTGTAAGGTAACTTTTATTTTAAATAATTGCACGATTTAATCATTCCAAATCTTTAAAAAGTAATTTTTTATCATTATTTTTTGC